AGAGCAGATCACGACAATTCATGTGAAATTATCCGAAGAGAGAAGCAGTCAATGATGTACTGTATGGGTCCTCTGGTTTGAGGATGATAATGACATTCCCAGTAATGCCATATCCTCTGGACATACAAAGGATAACTAAGGTGGATTTATTTAGGAAATACTCCCAAAAAGACAATAAAAACAGTATGGCAATAGCAATAACCAATAATGAATTAGCACAACATTGCAAACAAGAAGAGTCTCTGTGCCTGAACCCTGAAACTAGGGAGGTCCTAACTAAAAGAGCAGTACTGGAAGCTAAATGTTCCCCAGTCTTTTCAATTGCTCCCACTGGCGATTGTAATTAAACCATTTAAACCATTGAGGCCAGAGGTTCCTACACTGGAGTGCTCCGGTCCAAATGGTTCCCACAGTACAGGGCATACAGTAAGTACCAAAACTGTATCCTAAAGAAATGAGACACTGTCCCTTTAAAGTGTTTTTTAAACCCACAACAGTAAAGTCAATCAGTATATGCAGTAAACCATGTTTGTTATACTCACTGTGGAACCTAAGGGGTTAATCCTCTACATTGTGTAAAAAGGCTGTTTGATCCTGACTTCTCTTATCCTCCCCTTCTTCCAGCATCCCCCTCTTATCTCCTGATAAGACATACCGTGTGGAGTCACACTGCATATGCTAAGAAACCAATAAGATTGCCAGGTTTTATGTGCATTGCTAGAGAGGTTTTTTTTTTTTTCTTGAGTGTGCATGTGATCAGCACATGGCCAATCAGCACTATCCAGACAGAGGTCAGGGGTTCTGCATCCTGCTAGAGCAGAAAGAAAACTCCTCCTACAAGCTTTAACCAGTGCTCTGCTGGAAACTGATAGAAGTCACAAGACTGCTCCAACTGCTGATGAGAAAAGGTATTTAGCAGCTTATATTTACTAAAATAATTGCATTTCCATGTAGTGTGTACTGTGGGAAGCCAGAGAGAGTGAATGCAGGGTCCTGGGTTTAGTAATACTTTAAGTACTGGGAAAGTAAATTGTGGCCTCTCACCACCAGTCTGTGATTAAGCCTTAACAAGTGTCCTGTGTCACTCCTCCTCCCCCTCTGCTCAATGGCATCCAGAGAGAAACTGTGTGGTGGGCTACAGGGTCCCAAATAACAGCCGGTCTGTGCTGCAGTAGGCAGTGTGCCGTGGGTCAGTGCTACACACATGATATGCACATACATTCTGATCAAGATCAATTTTTATTTATTTATGAGTTATGTTTCTTGCCAATTTCAATATGATTTTGTATTTCAGATGCCATTTTGTCATATTGTATGTACAGATACTACGCCATGAAGTCTTCAAAAATTCAACATCATTATCCCCACCTACAGTATACTATCCTTGGACTTGGATGGATTGCCTGTGTTGGTACAGTAATTGTTGCTGTATTTCCGGTATGTAAAAAAAAAAAAAAAATGTACAGACCACAAGATAAAGGCAGCCTTTTTCAACCAGGGTGCCTTCAGGTTTCCTCAGGGTTGCTTTGGCAAAATTCTTATAAATTGCACAAAAACTGTATACAAGCCAGCAGGTGGATCAAGCCTGTCTTTTTGTTACACGAAGCCACAGGTTTTATTGTGCACCATTACAACCTTCCAGTGACCATCATCCTAGCTACCAATGATGTCATCGGTTGATAACGAGGATGTCAGCTGCCTGCACAACATCCTTGTTTGCCCCTCTCCATCAGCACTGGGGTCACATATAACTGAATGAGAGACAATTGCAATACTAGTTTGTACAAGTGTGCAAAGTTGTGTTTACTTTGGAAGAAAAAAAATCACCTCTAATGTTGGGTGTCCCATGGGTGTAGATGTTGTTACCAGGTGCGGACTGACAACTCATGGGGCCCCCGGGCAATAGGGGATCATGGGGCCCCTGTGTCCTTGCCTAAACTCAAAAAAGCCTATGAAAAAGGTACCAGGGGCCTCTCATGGGGCCCCCTACTGACCCCAGGCCCTCGGGCAGTGCCTTAGTTACCAAATGGTCAGTCCGCCCCTGGTTGTTACATTATGTAAAACTACAAGTTTAGTCTTTTACATTTTAGAATGGTGTTCCTTAAGGTTGTGCAGAATGTTAAAGGGTGCCTTGACTGAAAAAAGATTGAGAAACACTGATGTAAGGGATACCAAGTGCAAGTATCTAGCGGCAGCAGTGGTGACCAGTTCAGTGTAGCTGGCAATTGAAACCAGACTGTGTATAAAGTAAGATTAATAATAAAAAAAAAAACCCATCCAATGCCAGCAAATAGAATACATAGCAAAAGTGTAGATATACATGAATCATATGCCAAGTGACAATATACTTAACCAGCAACCTAACTATAATACAATATAAAAAAGGGGGACACAGATAAACAGGATAAGACAGGAGCTGCAATGACAGATAGGGAAGGAGGCCAGAACTGGGATCAAGAACAAGGCGAGCAGATATGAAACGACAAGGCACAGAATGCAGGTACAGGAATAGAAACAGCATAAATCAGGATCAAAGACAGAAGCAGAACATTAATAAACAGGTAGATAGCATGCAAGAAAAACACTGCACCAGTGAAGAAATTAGGGAAAGGATTCTATACCTTTCCAGCAGCCAGCATCAGGTGGAGACTGATTACTGGGATTAGCTGGCTACTGGGAGACACCTGCTGGTGTCCACAGGAACTATGCCCTTCCTTTCTCGGATCCTATTTTCAAAAGATATTTTGCACAGTTTATTTAAATCATAATAGAACTCTAAATCAACATGAAATATTTTTAAAGCATATCTGCATCCTCGACTTGATGTTGCCTGCTCTCCACTACTCCGCTGTACAAATACGGCTATTTACTTTTTTTTTTAATAAAAACCTCAGGCCCGCCCTCCACACATGTAACTAAATGAATAACATGCCCTTTGCCCTCTGTGCCTCCTGGGATCTGTACATCACACAAGAGGCATAGTCTTTCAATGAGAAAGGAGGAGGATGAACCTGGAAGAGCTGGCAGCTTCCCAGTGACGTTACGCAAGATGGAGGCTTGGGACTGAGCAGGGGGCTAAAGAGAAAAGGATCTTAGCAGGATAATGCTGGATCTGCTCGGTAGGTGAGTATCTCAACTGTGCAAGACCAGCAACCAGGGATTAAAAAAGGGGAGGGCAGTAGAAGATCCACTTTAATCCTTATGCTGCTAGCATTAGTGAATAGGTAGGAAGGTATATTCTGTTTCCTTGTTTTAAACTTTGTTTTTTACATTTCTTCAGTCGCTTCCTAGATTCTGGCCTAAGCCAAAATGATGTCGTACAACCTTCTTCAGTAGGGGTTTTTCTCAGCTAAGCGCAATTTTCTGCTTGCATGTCTAGTCTAAGGGCTGATGGATTCCAGGAAATAAATGCTACATGAATTATCTGTCCTTACTCAAGATGACCATTGCTAGAAATGCTAGGGGGTGTTTTTTAACCGCTTTCCTACTGCATTATAGCAGATATACTGCTACAGGGCGGCAGGAGCGCACAAAATCACGTATATATGTGATTTTGCATCTCTGGGTAGAGGACGTGCGCGAGCACCCTACCCATGCCACCATTCGCAGCTGTCAATCCCTGAGTCCCAGTCAGTGATTATCGAGCATCACCGACGGGGAGGACGACTGTTTTGTTTACTAACAGTTCTCCTCCCTGTCAGCTTGGGCATACTGCTCTGGATTGTCAGTCTTTTTTTTTTAATGGCTCAAAAAATTTAAAATGCACAAGCCATCAAATATCACCGAAAGAAAGCTCAATTCCTGAAAAAAAAAAAAAAAACAGGATGTAAATTTAAATTTGGGTGCAGGGTTGCATGACCGCACAATTGTCAAAGTAATGCAGCGCCGCACTGGAAAAAATGGCCTGGTCAGGAAGGGGGGGGGGGGGTAAATCCTCAGGAGGGCAAGTGGTTAAAGCAGTTTATCAGCCAAATCAAGCATGGAGACATGGATGAATAGGGTAGTTTGCTTTGAATATTATGAATAGCGCTTTCGGTTTGTTGTGCTCAGATACTGTTTAGTTCCACTTTAAACAGCCGTTGTTAGTTTATCATTTTATTACATTGTTGGAGGGTATACTGACCCACCAGAAACACAGGGTTGGTTGCAGATGTGACCATTCAAGTCCCTGGATCCTGCTTCTACAGTACAGACGTACTTTATAATTAATGCATTATAATGCTTGTTAAACCTGCCTGTAATATATTTCTGTTTATATTTTAGGCAGTAACTTACCCCGTGCCACACAGGATTGCCGCTGCCATCTCATTTTTAAGTAGTGCCATACGCAACACCTGCCAAGCCATACTCCTATATAAACTTTCACTCAACAGCCAGCGTTTGCACCACCTAAGATTGTTCATCTCTCTTATAACAGTCCTTTGTCTCATCATCTGTATCCTTTTTAACTGATACTATAGAGCAGCGGTCCTCAAACTACGGCCCACGGGCCACACGCGGTCCGCCAAGGCTATTTATCCAGCCCGCCCGCGAGGAAGGGACACTAAGTACAGGGGCGGGCAGGGGGCTGCTGTACCTTACCTGGCTCCAGTCCCAGTCCCATGACGATCCGGTCCAGGAAGCGCTGCTCCTTCATTCACTCTGGCCACTCCCTCACTCTTGTTGCTTGGCTCCGCCTCCTCACCGGTGATTGGGCGCCAGAACTGTAGCTCAGGAAAGGCACACAGGCGGCCAATCACCTGCGAGGAGGCGAAGCCGAGCGACCCCCGAACATCAAGTAAGGGAGAGGCCGGAGCGAAGGAGGACAGCTGACAGGTAAGTGTGCCGTGCTGATGGTGCTGCTGCAACCAGGTATGCTGGCTGCAGCAGCACCATGCTGGAACAGGGGTCAGCAAGTTAAGAGTCATTGGTGTCAGTGGGAGGAATAGTGCCCCATCATTGGTGTCACTGATACTAATGATGGGGCATTATTCCTCCCACTGACACCAATGATGGGGCACTATTCCTCCCCCCCACTGACACCAACAATGGGGCACTATTCCTTCCCCCACTGACACCTATGATGCGGTACTATTCCTCCCACTGACACCAATGTTGGGACACTATCCCCCCCACTGACACCAATGACAGGGCACTATTCCTTCCGACTGACACCAATGACGTACTATTCCTCCCACTAACACCAAAGATGGGGCACTATTCTTCCCACTGACACCAATGTTGGGACACTATCCCCTTCCCCCACTGACACCAACGATGGGGCACTATTCCCCCCCACTGACACCAACGATGGGGCACTATTCCCCCCCCCACTGACACCAACGATGGGGCACTATTCCTCCCCCCACTGACACCAACGATGGGGCACTATTCCTCCCCCCACTGACACTAATGATGGGGCACTATTCTTCCCACTGACACCAATGATGGGGCACTATTCCTCCCACTGACACCAATGATGGGGCACGTTTCTTCCCAATGACACCAGTGATGGGGCACGATTCCTCCCACTGACACCAATGATGGGGCACTATTCCTCCCACTGACACCAATGATGGGGCACTATTCCTCCCACTGATACCAATGATGGGGCACTATTCCTCCCACTGACACCAATGATGGGGCACTATTCCTCCCACTGACACCAATGATGGGGCACTATTTCGCTCCATAAGACACACTTGGGGGGAAATGTCTCTGTGCGTCTTATGGAGTGGCTGGCCCATTATTCCCACCGCCGTTCAATGTCCGCAGTCTCTGGTCATCTCCTGTACTGTGTCCGCATTTGTTCATAGTTTGTTTTTGTTTTGTTTTTTTAACTATAGTCCAGCCCTCCAACGGTCTGAGGGACAGTGAACTGGCCTCCTGTTTAAAAAGTTTGAGGACCCCTGCTATACAGTGGGGAAAAATGTGTATATATTTATTATATATAACTTTCCATTTGGAGGGTACATGGAGAATATCATCCTGAAGAGCAACTGAGGACAAACACAAACCAATTTAAAAAAAAAAAAAAAGTGTGTATATATTTTTTTTATTAATTTATTACACTTAAAAAGTCAAATGAACGTACATGTGCAGATTGCAGCAATTCATATCATACAAGAACTACATTATATTACACAGGTTTCATTGTGCTACTTTCCTTAACAAGCCTTGTCAGTGTTCATCTCTAGATTAATATGGTGGCAGATCTGCTCTGGAAATCTGTGTTTACATGTATGTTTCCTATCTCTGTAGTTGAACTCAATCACAACAGGATTTTTTTAGTGCAAAAAACAAATGCAAAGCAGTTGAAATTTGTTGATGCCCACTGTCACTGTTATATGTAAGGGTTAATACGACTTTCAACTGGTAGACTGGGAAAGCAGACCCAGCTACTACCACTGCCAGCCTTAACGAAAGCCACAATTACGGACCAGCACATCAATTCCCAACTAACCTGCAATTGGCATTTTATTTTTTTTACTTGTCTAAATGAATTAGTTTGGAATCTAGACAGTATTATCCCATTGGGGTTGATTTAAGAGAGGCGAATAGGCTGGTAAAGGATGAGTTCACCTTTCAGAACATGTTACACCTGTATTTACGGTGGCACATATAATATGTTCCAGCTCCCGCAGCCTTTGCCCCCAATCCCCACATCAGTGTGACAGTGGGTGGGGGATCCTCCCCCTGAATTCGCTGTCACTATTAAAAAAAAAAAAAAAAAAAAAATGGCACTGCTGTGTGGGACTCAGATTACACTGCTGCATCATTCACTTCACAGTTTCCTGTGAATGAATATACTACAACTACTGTCAGACACTGCAGCTGATGGCTTGTAGTTCTGAATGAACTGCAAGGGCACGGATTAGCACTCTCATAGCTCATTCACAAGCCTTGCAGCTTTGAACAGACCGCGTGTATGAAGGTAGGGCAGTAAGCTGCAGGGCTTGTCCACAGAAGCCTGACATTGCAGCCCTGATCCACTGATCATGGGGGAGGCAATGCTTTGTTGGATCTTGAGGGGAAAAAATAATACATTCACTTTTTTGCAAAAATATGTGCATTTAATATTTTTTCTTAAAAGGTGAACTGTCACCATATTCACCAAGTTGAGAAGAAATCATCTTGCAAAGTGAACAAATCTAATAGCCTATAAAAAGCCAACCCCGATGCATCTAATATGATATCTAACCACAGAGATGCCCAGAGAGATACAGAGACCTTCTACGCTTGCTATAGCAAGTTTTTTTGGCAGTTTTGCAAGTTTCCCCAACAACCTTCAACTAAACGGCTTAAAATTGATCTTAACCACTACAGTACCAAAATAAGGGGACTTTTTCGATTGCTAGAAACACCAATTTTGCCCATTTGGTCACCATTGTTGTATTTGTAAGCTGAATAAAATCTTACAAAATGGCCATTTATATTGACAAATACTGTTCTGATTAGAAATGTCCTCTGTTGCAATGGACAGGAGAAGCAGAAGCATTAGGCACACAGCAATACACTGTAATCTGAATGCAATGGATAGAAGAAGCAGAAGCATTAGGCACACAGAAATACACTGTAATCTGAATGCAATGGATAGAAGCAAAAGCATTAGGCACACAGCAATACACTGTAATCAGAATGCAATGGATAGGAGAAGCAGAAGCATTAGGCACACAGCAATACACTGTAAACTGAATGCAATGGATAGGAGAAGCAGAAGCATTAGGCACACAGCAATACACTGTAATCTGAATGCAATGGATAGGAGAAGCAGAAGCATTAGGCACACAGCAATACACTGTAATCTGAATGCAATGGATAGGAGAAGCATAAGCATTAGCACACAGCAATACACTGTAATCTGAATGCAATGGATAGGAGAAGCAGAAGCATTAGGCACGCAGCAATACACTGTAATCTGAATGCAATGGATAGGAGAAGCAGAAGCATTAGGCACGCAGCAATACACTGTAATCAGAATGCAATGGATAGGAGAAGCAGAAGCATTAGGCACACAGCAATACACTGTAATCGGAATGCAATGGATAGGAGAAGCAGAAGCATTAGGCACGCAGCAATACACTGTAATCAGAATGCAATGGATAGGAGAAGCAGAAGCATTAGGCATGCAGCAATACACTGTAATCTGAATGCAATGGATAGGAGAAGCAGAAGCATTAGGCACGCAGCAATACACTGTAATCTGAATGCAATGGATAGGAGAAGCATAAGCATTAGGCACACAGAAATACACTAATCTGAATGCAATGGATAGGAGAAGCACAAGGATAGTAATCTGAATGCAATGGATAGAAGCAGAAGCATTAGGCACACAGCAATACACTGTAATCTGAATGCAATGGATAGAAGCAGAAGCATTAGGCACACAGCAATACACTGTAATCTGAATGCAATGGATAGGAGAAGCACAAGCATTAGGCACACAGCAATACACTGTAATCTGAATGCAATGGATAGAAGCAGAAGCATTAGGCACACAGCAATACACTGTAATCTGAATGCAATGGATAGAAGCAGAAGAATTAGGCACACAGCAATACACTGTAATCTGAATGCAATGGATAGAAGCAGAAGAATTAGGCACGCAGCATATACACTGTGATCTGAATGCAATGGATAAGAGAAGCATAAGCATTAGGCACGCAGCAATACACTGTAATCTGAATGCAATGGATAGAAGCAGAAGCATTAGGCACACAGCAATACACTGTAATCTGAATGCAATGGATAGGAGCAGAAGCATTAGGCACACAGCAATACACTGTAATCTGAATGCAATGGATAGAAGCAGAAGAATTAGGCACACAGCAATACACTGTAATCTGAATGCAATGGATAGAAGCAGAAGAATTAGGCACGCAGCATATACACTGTGATCTGAATGCAATGGATAAGAGAAGCATAAGCATTAGGCACGCAGCAATACACTGTAATCTGAATGCAATGGATAGAAGCAGAAGCATTAGGCACACAGCAATACACTGTAATCTGAATGCAATGGATAGGAGAAGCAGAAGCATTAGGCACACAGAAATACACTAATCTGAATGCAATGGATAGGAGAAGCAGAAGCATTAGGCACACAGCAATACACTGTAATCTGAATGCAATGGATAGGAGAAGCAGAAGCATTAGGCACACAGAAATACACTAATCTGAATGCAATGGATAGGAGAAGCAGAAGCATTAGGCACACAGCAATACACTGTAATCTGAATGCAATGGATAGGAGAAGCAGAAGCATTAGGCACACAGAAATACACTAATCTGAATGCAATGGATAGGAGAAGCACAAGCATTAGGCACACAGCAATACACTAATCTGAATGCAATGGATAGGAGAAGCACAAGCATTAGGCACACAGCAATACACTGTAATCTGAATGCAATGGATAGAAGCAGAAGCATTAGGCACACAGCAATACACTGTAATCTGAATGCAATGGATAGAAGCAGAAGAATTAGGCACACAGCAATACACTGTAATCTGAATAATACAAGTAGTTGAGCAATGCCTGCATTTTACTGTGACAGCTCAAGAGACACAGAGCATATTTCCTCAGCCCATTGCTTTCTGATGGCATTTGAATATTTTGTAGACTTTTTAATACATGTATATTAATAACGTTACACATCATACTGCAGCCACTGAATGGGGTTTTAACCAAAAGCATCTTTTGCTTTTTTTTTTTTAGATCACTGAGAAAATAGCTATTACAACAGAGTGGATAGGAGCTATCGGAATTCTGGTCTACAAACTCACGCACAGTGCAGATTTTCAGGTTTGTATGTAAACAAAATACCTGCAGAATGTTCTACAGTAGCATCTTGTACATATTGTATGTTTTTACCAACGCATAGATACAGATTGATAATCCCTGTAATCTATTTTGTTTCCCAGCATCTGGCATTTAAATGGCATTGTAGTTTCAGAGAGAACTGGTTATTTTTAAGAAATATGCAACAAGAAAACCAGAAATACCACCATTTAGACTGTCAAGTTGCTTCTTTCTTGCAAGTTCACAGATAACGCCGTTGTTTTACACTAAAAAACTGGGCTACACTTGAGTGAAGAATGGAAAGACTATGTAAAACTGGTCCATCAAAACTACTTATGGACTGTTTCTCATGCAGCACTCCTCACCCACATGAGACCATCAAGTCTTTTCTTTGCCAAGTTCCAGGGGCCAAAAGTATATTATCATGAACATGGAAAATACCACAAAAGTCCCACGTCCTTCATTCTTTGAACTTGAAGAGATGTCTCCTTGATGAGAGACTCTAGGAAACCCTTTTACCAATTAAAAAATGTGACATCTTAACCCTTTAAGG